AGTTATTTCTGAGAGATAAGCAAAGAACATTCGCCCTACTTCTAAAGATTGACATGCCATACAACTTTTCAAAGACTGGCATGCCACAGCCATAATAACCTGAAGAGGTTGTGATATTTTTGAAGTTCGTCAGGAGATTGGAAAAGGGTCATTAGTCAATTAGAACTTAGGTTCCTTCTCAAAATTCATCAGCCGCGGATCCACGGTTCCAAGTTTAAAATTGCATTCATCCCTTTCGTTATATGAACTAATTCGATCATCCATGACTCATAACAACAATAAATTTAAATATCTTGGTCAAATAGGTTAGAGAAGCTTCATTGTTATTTGAAAGACCACCAAATAATCCAATCAAACACACGGCCAATAAGAATTCGAATCTAAGGAATCAACCCCATCACTAAACGATCACTAAACAACAATTCCATCAAAACCCAAACTCCAAACAAGAAAACCCACAATTCCAAAAGTCCCAATAAACACAACAGCTTCGGAAACAACGATCAATCACGGAATTAAGCGAAGATTGAAACAAAAACAGAAAACCCAGAAAGGAAAGGAGCAGAGAGAAGAGAAAAGGGGTTTTGAAGAACTCACCAACCACCCTGGATCCTTCAGAGCCCATGAAGCATAGAATGCAGAGAGAGGTTCAGAGAATTTCTAGAGAGAAAGGAGAAGAAATTAATTAATGAATGAATGAAGAAACGAAGGAAAGAAATTAAAGAGGCTTGGTTGAAAAATGGGTGAGAGATAATTAAGCCGAAGCGGCATCGGCCATAAGATTGGACAAAAGAAGATCGCAGTCCCACCTACTAAATGACTGCTGTTTTCGCCAGTTTCGCTGGCAGAAGAAAGATGCACTCCGTACTTTTTATTCTCAGTGGACCGATCCATCCCTGCTCTCATACGCCTTCACATCTCGGCCCTACACGTAACCAATCAAGATTCCCGTCCTATCGTGAAAATTAAAAATAAAGTAGATATCACCATCATATTAATAATTTGAACTTTAAATTTATTTATAAATAGTGGAATGGCTGTTTGGTATTTATTACTTAAAATATATTTCCTTTTATAATTTTAAGAAAATTAATACCTATAGTCCATATTTTTCATAAAATTGAGGTTAACAGACATTTATATTAATATGACAAATGAAAAGTATTATAATCTTAGTGTATGCAATTTTTTATTAATTTATAGAATCGTTAATCTTGAAAAAATAAACCAAATATAACAAAAATATCCAACACTAATATACACCCATATCTTTTTTATTATTTCAAAAATATCTATCAATATTTTATTGATATTTAAATATGTTACTTTTGTAGCATTAACCGTAAATTTGTTGAGAGAAAGAACGGGATCTACTAAAAGAGAAAAAATTGCATATCGCTATGATGCTTGGCATACCAATTTTGACGCTTAAGATAGCTAAAAGAATTATGTGCGTAATAAGGGTTTTAGAAATAAGGAAGAGTCGAAGATAATTATTTATATTAAAACCCTCTAGGATTTGGAATGAATTAGGTTAAATATTAATCAAACGGGATTGAGCCATGATACCACAAGTCAAGAGCATGTATGGTGCCACAGTTGCTCTCTTATGGCAGGAGGATAGCTATTGTGCGACACTGATTCTAACCCAGCGAATAAGTGAGTCACACGGGAGATTTGCGATTCCAGGTAAGATTGGTTTAGGATCATGGGAACCTTTTCTATCGGATAGGAAGGGTTATTGCACAAAATGTACTTCTAAGTAGTTGCTCCATAGATCCTTTATCTATCTATATGAAGAAGAAATCATATAACAAAGGGGGTTCTTATTTGTACAAACGGTACTTCGAACTTGGAACGAGCATGAAAAAATTAATGATACTTCCTATAATATTTGAGCGGGTGAAAATATATGGCCCAAATCTTTTATTGGACTTTGAATATTAATTGCATCGGTTTATAAAATTTTTGTTTAAATGACAATTTTTAAATTATATATATAAAAAAAAAATTATATCACTTCAATTAAAATTATCTTTTACATTATACATATGTATATAGGTGTATTTTCGTTTTTTAAACAAAATAAGATTTCCACCCTGTCAATTTAAGGTGATGACGTGGCCTACAATAACAGGTTGAGTGTCTTTCTTGAAATTACGGTCTTGCCCCTTGTTTTGACTTGCGAATTTGTCACTTCCTCGTGTTTTCTGATTTATAACTTGTACGTTTTAAACTGTTTTCCCCCAATTTACAATGACAATAATGTCATTAACGTAATTTTTTAAAACTTAAATAATCAATTACGAAATTTATTTTTATTTTTTAAAATAAAATGGGGGTAGTTAAAAATTATTTCTCCCTTCATATAATCATATAATCGTAAGGAAAAATAAGTGATATAAAAAATTTACTTTGTTTTTGTTAAATAATTAGTAGTCTGTATTAATTAAAATTAAATAAAAGATAAAAGGTTTCAAGTATTATGACGTCTAAAAAAATTAAAATGCAGCAGTACTTGAGGACGTTAGGAATGAAATTACGGGCGTGCCCCTCGTTTTGTATAGAGTCCAATTTGGTATTCTCTAGTTGTTTCTCACCAAAATATCTTTATCCAATGGCCATAATTTTTTGTTACGTATTACGTATGCGTTATAACCTATTTTTGTGGTCCAAAATTATTTTAAAATTTTCAATAGATTTTTTCGGGTAAATTATAATTTTTATAGTTTTTTTTTTTTTAAATTTAAAAAATGACTAATACATTACTTTTTATTTAATAAATAATTACATAATTGTGTTTGATTATCCTATCATTTAGTTTTGTATTTATATGTAATGGATTTCTTAATTTACATTTTTTATAATTTATTAGATTAGTATAAAATTTTAAAATGAAAGTTTAATGGTCTATTAAATATTTTTTAAATTTACACGCTCCTTAAATAAAATTAAAAATGGTTATTTAGATTTTGTAGTTTTTGATTTCTAAAAATTAGATTATATTTTTTAATTTACTTTTTTATCTATATTTTAAAAAATCAAGTAAGATTAATAATTCAAATATTTTCTTAAAAGGAAAAATAAAAAACTAATAGAAGTATACATATACTTATTGAAAAATTATAAATATATTTTTACCGTTTTAATTGTTAATATTATATGTGATATTTTGTAGATAATTTTGTTTTTAAAAAAGTGCAGAATTGACTAGAAATATGAATGAAAAATAAAAAAAACAAAAGTCAAATAAAATCACAATTTCTCCTCTAATTTAAATTGCGTGCGTCTATATACATATAATTGTTTAATTACCATATTTTAATTTCTGCGTCTTCTTCCTCTCTCTCTCTTTCTGCCATGCACGGCCTCTGCAACTCAAAACCCCTCTCTCTATTTCAGCCCACCTTCCCCACCAGAAACCATAGTCGAACTTCTATTAACAAACTCCACATCGTCAAAATGGCCACCGATTTCGATCGCGCCGCCGAATTGAAGCAATTCGATGAAACCAAAGCCGGCGTCAAAGGCCTTCTCGATGCTGGCCTCAATCAAATCCCTCGCATCTTCATCCACCCGCCCGAAACTCTCTCCGACCTCAAACCAACCCTTAAATCCTCCGGCGAAGCCGTTGTCATTCCAACGATCGACCTCGCCGGCCTCGACTCCCCCGATCTCCGCCCCTCGATCGTCGACCAGATTCGAAACGCCTCATCGACCTTCGGATTCTTCCAAATAATCAACCATGGAGTTCCGCAGAAAGTGCTCGATGATATAATCGATTCGATTAGGGCTTTTCACGAACTGCCATCGGAGGCGAAATCGCCGTACTACCAGAGGAACGTTGGGACCGGAGTGTCGTACTTGTCGAACATCGATCTGTTCAAAGCGAAGGCGGCGAGTTGGAGAGACACGCTTCAGATAGGGATAGGGCCGGCGAAGGCCGCAGCGGCGGCGGAGAATATTCCAGAGGTCTGTAGGGCGGCGGTTGCGGAGTGGGCGTCGGAGACGGAGAGGTTAGGGTTTGTGTTGGAGGAGTTGCTGTCTGAGGGATTAGGGCTGAAATCGGAGCGGCTTAAGGAGGCGACGTACGGGGAAAGGCGGATGATGGTGGGGCATTACTATCCGTACTGCCCGCAGCCGGATCTGACGGTGGGGATTAAATCGCACACGGATCCTGGAGTTTTGACTGTGCTTCTGCAGGACCACATCGGCGGTTTGCAGATTCGGCACGGCGGCGGGTGGGTGGATGTGGAGCCTGTCGCCGGTGCTCTTGTTATTAACATTGGCGATTTGCTTCAGGTAACCTCTCTAGAGATCGGTTCTGTTTCTTTGGACAACAACAATTAGGTCGTTCTTGAATCAACCAGAATCCATATTGTAGTTGTATTAAAACAAAATTATAATAAATTTTTCATTCTTTTTTTTGTTTTTTTTTTTTTTATAGATTGCATCAAATGACGTGTACAAGAGCGTGGAGCATAGAGTCCTGGCGAATGGGAAGTCAGAAGCACGGATTTCGATTGCAGTGTTCTACAACCCTGAAATTAGAGACAACTTATACGGACCACTCCCGGAGCTAATCACACCGGAGACACCTGCAGTTTATCGGCAATTCACGTACGATGATTACATAACGAGGTTCTTCAACAAGGAGCTAGATGGCAAATCTTTGCCCAACCATTATCGAATTTGAACTCTCCAACTCCTCCTCGTCTTTCCAAAAGGCATATTATAGTGTTACGTAACCTTATGTTTGTTTGTTGTTTGTTAAACAATAACTATGACTCTATGACAACCACAAAACATACTCCCAGTTAATGTTTGTGCTAGTTTCTGGTAAATTTTACCTATTTTGATACAACGCCGATTTGAACACAACTATATGAAATTCATGTGTTTATTAGAGCCTAATAATATGGCATTTTATTAGAACCACAAATTTTAATTTCATTTTCAAACCGCCGAGCTTAAGCGTCTAATCTACACAGCATCGAAATGATGTAATAAACATAAATAAATAAATGTGAATCTGAATTTGTGCACTTCTCTTCTCTCTGTTTGTGGTTCTATATTTGGAAATCATCACTCTGTAACCAATTCGAAATCCCAATTTCATTCGCGGATTCAAGTTTCTCCCAAATTGTCTTATCTTCCATTGCGATCATGTTCCCTTTCTGCTTCATCTTCATACTCAATCCTCCCGTTTTCAATTCCTTCTGAAAATCTGTTTCGGTTGTGGGTGGTCGATTGTTTTTTCGCACCCGACAGCGGAACCAGCCATGAGATTCAAATGTCTCTTCTGCTGGAAAAAGAAGCCCTTCACCTCCGTCACTTCTTCCATCGTCTCCTCGCCCTCGACGCATGGACCCCGCTCCTCATCCGGAGATTCACACTCTCGGAACGCGGAACTCGAGGAGGTTTTCAAGAAATTCGATGTAAACGGTGACGGAAAGATCTCCTCTGCCGAATTAGGCTCGATTATGGGGAGCCTAGGGCACAAGGCCACGGAAGAAGAGCTCGCCAAGATGATCGAGGTATTCGACGCGGATGGCGATGGATTCATTAATCTGCAGGAATTTGTGGAGTTAAACACTAAAGAAATCGATCCCGAGGAGTTGTTGGAGAATCTGAGAGAGGCATTTTCGGTTTACGATATCGATGGAAACGGATCGATCTCGGCGGAGGAACTGCATAAGGTTATGAGGAGTTTGGGGGACGATTGCTCGGTGGCAGATTGCCGGCAGATGATCAGCGCCGTCGATAGAAACGGCGACGGACTGATTAGCTTCGATGAGTTCAAGGTAATGATGTCGGCTGGGCTCTCCGTCGCAGGCGGTTGAGTTTGATAGTCGGCCGGCGGATTTCGTGAGGAATGTGCATATAGTTTGCCATAATTCGAATACGTTTTGTTTTTTTTTTTTTTTTTTTTTTTTTT